CTACAAGTGTTGGCGAGGGTGTGGAGAAAAGGGGACTCCAGTACACTGCTGGTGGGAATGCAGACTGGTGCAGCCACTATGGGAAACAATATAGTGTTACCTCAAAAAATTAATAATTGAGCTTCCATTTGACCCACTGATCCCACTTCTAGGAATATACCCTAAGAAGCCTGAAATACCAATCAGAAAGCATATATGAACTCCCATGTTCATAGCAGCACTATTTACAATAGCTAAGATCTGGAAACAGCCCAAGTGTCCATCAGTAGACAAACGGATAAAAAAGCTATGGTACATATACACAATGGAGTATTCTGCAGCTGTAAGAAAGAAAGATCTCTTATCCTTTAAGACAACATGGAGGGACCTGGAAAGTATTATCCTAAGTGAAACAAGCCAAGCAGAAAAAGACAAATACCACATGATCTCACTTATTTATGGAATATAATGAACATAACAGTCTGAGGAATAGGGTAGACCCAGAAACATGGAAGTAGGGTACAAACTGACAACCCTCAAAAGGGGGGGTAATGGTGGGAGGGAAGAGATAAACCACAGAACTTATATGCATGTTTGCATAACCAATGGACATGGACAACAAAGCTGGGGACGGGGCGCGGGGGATGGGGAAGAGGGTGTCAATGGAGTAAAAAAGGAGAAACATCTGTAACAAAAATAAAATAAATAAATAAAAAGAAAGGAAAATCTGAACAGATTTCAAATCTTCCCATAAAGAAAAGTGTAGAATATGCTCACTGGAGCCTTCCACAAAACACTGGGGGAGGAATCAATAGCAATTCTTCACAGACATGTTCAGAAAACAGCAGAAGAGGGAACAAAGACCCCAGGAAAAACGCAGACTGACATTACCTCATATATGAATCTAAAAATTCTAAACAAAACTTAAGCCAATGTGAGTCCAGCAAGATACTGAAAGCATTAAATGGGATCTATGATAGATGTTACATCCATCTATCATTCCAGGAATGTTAGATGGGAGTAACAACTTGAAAATCAGGCATGTAACACACCACATTAGTGAAATAGGATCTTTCTGAGGGGATGGAAATGTTCTGAACTTGAACTGTAGTGACAGCGGATTTAGTAAAAATCATTGCATTGTCCACTTGAAACACCTGAATTCTACGATGTGAAAATCATATCACAATAAAGTTATTACAAAAAATAAGAATGGTCAGAAGAGGAGGGTCTGGGCAGGGCAGGGTCCAGAGCAGCGTGGGTGAGATCATCAGGCCGGTGCACAAAGTGGCTCTGCGCCAGGGTTGTTCCGGGTAGCAGGAGAAGGCGGGTGCTGAGGCCTGGACCCGGATGGGTGGTGGTGGTATGAGGTGAGTGTACAGGGCTGGCCTCAAGAGGGGCATAGAACTCCTGGGATAGGGGACGGCCAGGGAGCATCGGTGTGCTGGGTTCGTGGGGTGTGCCGAGGGAGCTAGGGAACAGGGGTATGGGGAGCACGGAGGGTATGGAATGAGCATGGAGTGCAGAAGGGTGGGTGGAGGGAGCCCAGAGGTCGCGGGTGGGGGTGGGGTGGTTGCCCCATGATGGAAGGTCATGGAGCGAGCGTTCAGGGTCATTGGGATGCAGTGCAGATAGATGAAGCAAGCCACCACGGAAGAGCTCCTGGCTCCAAGCGCCTCCAGAAAGACCCTCAGGACACTGGGGGCCCCTCCTGCAAGTCTGGCTTCAGGGTCCATGGGGGCGGGAACTGGCCTGATTACAAAGCGCACCTGGAGTGAAGGTGTGGTATTCCCTGCTCAACTGGGAACTTACTGAAATAGCTGAATTGTCAGTTTACCACAAGTAAGTGGGTGGCATGAGAAGCAGACTGTAAAGTTATTTGAAATCCAGCACTCTTTGGGCGGTCCTGCCCCTCTCTCCTGCTGACTCAAGTGTGGAATGGGTGTTACTGCACAGACTTGCTGTTGGATTAGCGGAGTAAGACATACAGAATGGGGACAAAACAAATGAAGAAAGACCTTCTGTTTCTTAATGCAATCCTGTGGATATATTACATGCCCAGGATGGGACAGAAGGAGGGGATAAAAAGGGACATCAGGGACACCCACCAAGGCCCAGCAGGGCTGTCTTTATTTCTCAGATTTTCCTTTTACTACACATACCCTGCCACCAGGATTAGAGTAGCCAGACACACTTGACACCATTCTGCCCTTTCCTTCACAGTGCTTGTCACACCCTGTGATCACATTTTAAATTGCTTTCCTCTGGCTCCCCTGTGTGGCTGTACCACCATCTGCAGGCAGAGCTGGACATTTTAAGAATGTAGTAGGCTCCATGGAGGGTGATTATAGGAAGCCTTGGTGTCTTATCACATCTGACACCTGGCTCAGATTTCTACCTCCATCCAACTTTATTTTCCTCAAGACTCTCATGACAGTCCCTGAGGGAGCTGCCAAATTATTACTGTGGGACTCACCACTGCTAATGCAGGAGACATTCACTAGTAGTGCAAGGCATACACACTGCTGGTGTAAGAGACACTGCTCCTAGTGTAGAAGACACTCACTGTTAGGGTAGGCTACACCCACTGCTATTGTAAAAGACACCCTCTGCTAGGGTAGGTGACACCCACTGGTAGCGTAGGAGACATCCAGGGTTAATATAAGGGAAACCCACCAGTAGTACAGGAGACACCCACCACTAGTGTGAGACACCTGCTGTTAGTATTGGGAGACACTCACTGGTTTTTGAGGTGACACGCACTGTAATGTAGCAGACATCCACTGGTAGTGTGGAAAACACTCAGTAGTAGTATAGGAGATATCCACTGGTATTGCAGGAGACACTCACTGCTAGTGTTGGAGACACTCAGTGGTTTTTTGAGGTGACACTCACTGCTAGTGACACAGACCAGTAAGCCAGGACAGGTGGAATAGGGACACTGAGACAGATAGCTGAACAAACTGAGAGCAATTTACAGCAGAAACAGAAATTCACCTCCCTAGAAATAACATACAGGCCTGTTGTATTTCAGCTCCAGATCCAGAAAAGCAGCAAAACCAGGTGGGTGACACCAGGACCAACCGCAATGACTAATGACCCCTTTCCCTGACACTGACCAATCAGTAGAGACCATGACCTTGAGGAAGCACATGTAGAAAACTGATGAATATTCTGCTGAAACCCTCCTGAGACCTCCCCTAAGATTCCTACCTGCAAGAGAGATAAAATCCTCAAGACAAAGGACCTAGTGAGAGCTCTTCTTCCCAGAAGCATGCCCACACTTCCTGCCTCTCCACCCCCCACCGGGGCATGCATCACCTAAACTCTAAGGGACCCCTCAAGTCTTGCAACCAGGGCAACAATCGGCAACAGCAGTTTAACCCAGACAAACCCCCTGAACCTGTAACCAAGGCCTTTCCTCTGACTTCTTAGTGAGCCAAAGCAGACCAGCCTGGACTAATTCTCCCAGCATTTTTCTTGTTTCACTATCTCCAGCTTTAGTAAGTGTCCTCTAAAATTCACCTGGACTTGTGTTGTGAAATTTTTCCTGCATGAAGAACCCACACACTACTGGCTGGCCCTAGGCAGACCCGCCAAGGGCCAGGTCCCCTTTCTGGTGACACTAATGTAGTGGACACCCACTGGTACTGTGAAAGACACCCAGTGGTAGTACTGGAGACACCCACCACTAGTGTAGGAGACACCCAGTGGTAATGTGGGAGATAGCACCTGTTGCTAGTGTTGGAGATATTCACTGCTTGTTGAGATACATCTTTGTAGTTTTTAGCCACCTTGAGTATTGATCTGGGCTAAGGCAACTAGATTACATTCTTATGTAGGCCTTTTGGCTGACTAAATAACTCCATTTTTATCATCAATGGACCTTCCTCAATATTTTTCCAATAATAGGTTAATTACCCATAGAAGTAAAATGATTTTGCCTAAGATTATAGTTGCCCCATGTGTTGGGAGGAATTTGCAGTTTCTATTATCGGTATTGGGAGGAATTTGCAGTTTCTAGTATCAGGCATTTGCAGTTTCCATACCGGTAACTGCAGGCATTTGCAAGCCTGGTAAATAATGCTAATTTTGACTTCTATAATCATTGTCACACCCACTATTGTACCAGTCCTGGGAGGTAGGGGGGAAAAAGGAGGATGAAACTTCTGTCTTTAAAATAGACACCTCTCCAAACAGGACACACAAATGGCTAAGAGACATATGAAGAAATGTTCAACATCACTAATCAGAGAGATGCAAATTAAAACAATGAGGTATCACCTCACACCTGTCAGAATGGCTGCCATCAACAAATCATCAAACAAGTGTTGGTGAGGGTGTGGAGAAAAGGGGACTCCAGTGCACTGCTGGTGGGAATGCAGACTGGTGCAGCCACTATAAAAAACAATATGATGTTACCTCAAAAAATTAAAAATTGAACTTCCATTTGACCCACTGATCCCACTTCTAGGAATATACCCTAAGAAGCCTGAAACCACCAATCAGAAATAATATATGAACTCCCATGTTCATAGCAGCACTATTTACAATAGCTAAGATCTGGAAACAGCCCAAATGTCCATCAGTAGACAAATGGATAAAAAAGCTGTGGTACATATGCACAATGGAGTACTACACAGCTGTAAGAAAGAAACCTCTTATTCTTTGAGACGACATGGAGGGACCTGGAAAGTATTATCCTAAATGAAACAAGCCAAACAGAGAAAGACAAGTATCATATGATCTCACTTATTTGTGGAATATAATGAACATAACAGTCTGAGGAATGGGGTAGTTCCAGAGATGTGGAAGTGGGATAGACTGACAATCCCCAGAAGGGGGGGGGGGGAGGATGATAAACCACAGGATTTATATGCATGTATGCATGAACAATGGACATGGACAACAAAGCTGGGGACGGGGTGGGAAGGGGGAATCAGTGGGGGGAAAAGGAGAAATATCTGTAACAAAAATAAATAAAAGAAAAAAAAAGAACATGCTTAAAAAAAAATATCGGACGAGCAAGGAGAATCATGGGAGACTATACCCTCTCAGTCCTCCAGTGAGAATAAAGCGCTCCTTTACAATGTGGCTGTGCGTCTCTGATTATGGTTATCTCGCTGACACATAACAGTATCAACTCCATGAACAGGATCTTCTCTGTTTACTGTGGTCCATGGTGCCCAGGAAAGCCCCACTGGCTCAGCAGGTAAAACATGGAAAGTATATTCAGCATGTGTGTGGATAGGCATCAACTAAGCTAATTTCTTGTCACTTGGTCATGGATGGCTAAACATTCCATTCCAAATATCCCACTTTGGCAACAGGATAATTTGGGGTGGAGGCAGTTGATAAGCACAATAAAGAAGCTAAAAGCCCTCCCCAGGAAAGACTGAGTCAGTCACAGGAGACAATGAGATCTCTCACCATGGGTTTGGCTCTGGGAATCTTACTTAATACCCCTAACCAATCTTTCTTCCCTCACACTGCCTTGACCGGTCATTTCCCAAAAGCGTGTTCCTTATTGCAGAGGCATGAGTTCTGAGCTGCTGCTGGAGTTTCTAATTTTTTTCTGGGTGTTTCCCATGTGCACCAGGTGTATGTGTTAATAAACGTTCTTCTCATTAATCTTTTATTACAAGGGTCCAGACAGGGATCAGATGGGTGGAAGGAATATTTTTCCCCTCTCACACTGGTGTCCAGCTTTGCTACAGAGCCATGGCCTGCTGTTCTCAGGGCAGTCGTGTGCTCCTCTGAACTGTCACCCTGAGGCGGTCCCACCTCCTGGGTTCCAGTGGTCATCCAGGAAGTCCTAAACTTTAAAGTCCAACTCTTGCTCCAGGCAGGAACCAACCAGTATCTGCAGAATCTCAATAGGAAGTGAAACAGTAGGCAGTCAACTGGGATGGGAAAACTTTCCCAGCTAGAAAAGTGCCAGACTCCTGGCTCGACTGAGAAAAATGTCCCATGCATATAATTTGAAGGAATTGTTTAAAATACTCAAAGTGGCACATACATGAAAACAAAATGAATAAATAATCAAGTAGTTAGCTACTGAATACCTTGGAACCTAGAATTGTTGATCAGGTTATTTGCAAAAGAATTACATGGCAGTTGCATGAAATGAATGGACAGCAGTCACTGTGTTCCCAACTTTGCAGTGGGTGGCAGGTCTCTGCCCACAGACTCTCCCGCCCACCAATTAAAGACTGTGGCATCACAGACATAGTTTATTTACTGTGAGGGTGGTCCTTACAACAGATTAAATCTAGGGGTGCAGAGATGCTGCACCAGGCCTTCTTGTGAAACATGAAAACAAGCCAACATAAATCTTGGATCCGGTGGGGTGCAGGAGAGGTCTGTGCAGCCTCACCCCTTCCCCAGGCAGGGCCAGTGTCTTTCCTGAGCTGGTCAGCTCTAGGACAGGAAGGAACATTCTGCAGCCACAGTGATCCACACATGGAGACTTGAGAGCTAAGTCCAGTTCCCTCAGTTCCCTTTTGCAGTACCTCTTGCTCTTAGTGCCATTGCTCTGGCCTTTCCCATGCCCCCTCCTCTCCTAAGGACTGCTGCACCCTGGTAAATGAGGCAACCACATCCAGAACCATTTTTTAGGATCTGACACTGAGTAAGGCTGACAAGACTCACCTACCAGTGGCCTCTTTGGGGATGCAGCTCTGGGGCTGTTGAGGGCTCAGTCTGAGGTCCCAGAAAATTTCACAGGCCCTGGTGCCTCACCCACCCCTGGACCAGTTGAGCTCCAGCACAGTGTTCCCAGGGGACTTGGTTCTGCAGAAAGCTGTGAGCAATGCACTGGTGACATAAGATGGCTATGGAAGATCACGCGGGAGATATTGCTGGCCCTGCAGGTGCTGGCTTCCCAGGAATGAGAGGGGTAGGGATTTTATTATACACATGAAACAGCACTGGGAGTTCTTTCCATGGCTCAGGACACCCTCGAAGACTCAAATGCAGGACAAAGGCATGAGAGGCCCACTCACTGGGAAACCAGCCCATCCCCAGGCCCACCCTTGGGTCCGCAGATGGTCATGGGGGTGGAACTGCTGGAGAGAGGTGAGAAGAGGGCACGCAGTGTCCCTGAGAAGGGTGTCTCAGGGAAGGCATATAGGAGTGAACCGTCAGTGGCGCTGTAGAAAGCCAAGTGCCCAGCCTCATAGTCCAGAAAGATGCCCACGCGCCGGGGTGGGTCTCGCAGGGGGGCGAAAGCCCGCTCAGAGGAGTTATAGAAGCCCCCCAGGAACACCAGGATCCAGAACCCATTGCCAGCAAAGAGCTCGCCCTTCTCCTTGCGGTTAGCATTCTCCCTACAGACACCTAAGGCCCAGCTGGCCCGCTCACCAACCTCCACCTCCCAGTAGTGGCGGCCAGAGTTCAAGGACTCCCGGCCTAGCACACAGGGCCCAGGGTCGAAGCGCTCAGGGCTGTCGGGCAGGGGCTGCCGCAGGTCCCCCCGCCGCACACTCTGCATGTCTTCTGACAGGACCAGCTCAGGGTTAGCAGTGTCAGGATCCAGCGTTATATCCCCTGCAGACAGAGCAGTGGTCACCTTGGGCTCCTTGTGCCTGCCTGCAAAGTGACTGCTCCCCTTCTTTCATCTTCCTTGAAAAGGTCATCTCACTACTTGCAGTTATAACTTGGAATGTTCTGGAAAGTGGTCCCACACTGCCTTGTGATTCATTATCTTGAAATTCAGGAAGAACCTGAGTGCTTTCTATATCTACTCTTCCAATCCCCAGAGTGTTCCAGTCCAGCTTTCACACTCCCCAGGCCTGGAGCCTACAAAGTGTCCTGGCACCTGATGAACCAACCTTTGCTTTTCCTAAGTGTGCCAGGGGCAGCCCTCCCTCAGAAGCAGACCCTGACTCCTTGGCTTCTCAGCCATGAACCAGGAGCCTTTGTGCCTTTCCTACCACAGGCCTCAGCCACCGCAGGAGCTCAGGATGAGCACTTCCTCTGGACCAGAGCGGGCTAACCAGGTCCCCACATCCACATGCTAGGGCACACACCTCGAAACCTTCGAAGAGCCTCCACCAGCCCTGGGACCCTGCACACCGTCCTCAGCTCCATGGGCACCACCTCAGGTGGCTGTAGCTTCACTTCCTGGACCCTGGAGAGGTAGCCAGGTGTCACCACCAGGGCGGGCCCACCCCCACCCTCACCCCCACCCCCACCCAAACCCAACCACCTTCCCTGGGGAAAGGCTGGGCTCCTACCTGTGCAAGGTATCCATGATGTCCTGTGGGAGAGACATGTAGTGTCAGTGTGCATCACATAGTTCTGCCCCCACTACCTCCATCAGTGTCACAGTATCCCCCCTCATGGTCAGAAACTGCCCCTGCAGCCTCACCTGTTCCCATCCCATGTCCTCCCCACAGACACCTCACCTGACCTCCATTAGCTGCCCTCCCCCACATTCTGACTCAGAGCCCAACTTCCAGGTAAGGCTTCTCTGCCTAGATGCTCCTTTCTCTCAAAATGATATACAAGAGCATTTTACTGGATGTCATGGGCTGATTGTAGCCCCCAAATCCACATATTGGAGCCTTAATGCTAAGGACCTCAGAATGAGACTATATTTGGAGATTAGGCTTCCTAAATAGGTGATTAGTTTAAAGTGAGGTCACTGAGGTGAGCCCTAATCCCATATGACCGGAGTCATAGGAAGAGATCAGGATACAGATACACAGAGGCCTGACCATATGCAGACACAGGGAGGAGTCAGTGGTGTAAACACTGTGGAGAAAGGCCTCAGGAGAACCAGCCCTGCCCACACCTGGATCTCAGCCTTGATTCCAGACTCCAGGACTGGGAGAAATAAATGTTTTTTTTGCTTAAGCCACCTGTCTAGGGCATTTGTTACAGAGCTGACAGAGACACTCTGTTATTTGGAATGCCAGCTCCTGACAGCAAACAAGTTGTCTTTTTAGAACATTGCCTGGCACACAGCAGGGACCCAGCTCATGTGTCAAATAAACCCCACAAACCGTCACTCTAACTACATTGTGCACCAGCTACTAGGACAAAGAGAGTAAGTAAGATGTTGTGCCTGATGTGGGTTTCTTTTGGGGTGGGAAATTTCACACACAGTAGTCAATTCTGTCTGGGTTGCATGGGACCTGCTAAGGCCTCAAAAGAAAAGGGAGACTGGTGGGTTTCTGAAACCTGAGGATTCATCAGGAGACACGGAGATAGTATAGGCCTGGGAGAGGCATGTGCAAAGGACCTGGGTTGGACTAGGTGCAAAGCAGTTAGAAACAGCTGTCATTTGTTTTACTGGGTACTGGGAAATTGGGGGTGATTTTGGTTTCACAAGGTCTGGGGCTGCCCTCATTACTTAGGAGAGGGACGGAGCAAGGGCCCCCCTGCCCAAGGGTGGGGTTCCTGGACCTTGAAGGGAGTTGACCTCTGTAGAAACCACCTGGCTACTCTGGGCAGTGGGGACTAACATACATGTCCCTTCAGGAAAATGCTCTGTACCCATGGAGGACAGTTAAGAAGGTCTGGAGGGGTACCAGGACCCCAGACTCTGGTGTAGCTGGGGCCCCAGGCTCACAAGTTACTCATAGCTTTGCTTCTTCTGTTCCCAATGGGGCTTCCAGACAGGTGCCAACAGCAGTTCTCAGCAGGGTTCAGTATTCGTACATATTTCTAGGCCATGGCATGTCCATAAGGACCTACAGTCATACCTGAGACACTAGTTCCAACCCTCACCCCAGTATTTCACAGGTACTACACAGGAGATACAGAAGAGATGAAGGTCAACTTGCTCCCCCCAGGGCTTTCTCCTTCCTGTTCCTTGGATGCACTCCGTCCTGTCAGAGCCCTTGCATGCCCATTCTAGGCACGCACCCACCTGCAGCAGCCCCAGTGCGGGCAGCTGGCAGCGCCCCTCCAGCTCTGCAACAAGATCCGCCAGCTGTGCGCTCTGCTGCCCAAGGCGGACCGCGCTCTCCTGCAGTGGGGGTAGCACCTCCAGCTCTTCCTCCTCCAGCCTCTGCAGCAGCCGTTGCTCTTCCTCTGCCAGCAGGCGGCGCAGCCGCTCAAACTCTGTACGCACATTCTGCCGTTGGCTCTCCACCATCTTCTGTGGGGGGGTGGGGGGAGGACATTGAGGAGGGCTCACAAACCCACTACCAGGGCCCCCTACTATCCCTCCCCCACCCAAACTCACCCCTGGGGGTTGGGGGTCTGGAGCAAGAGTGCTGCATTATAAGAAGCATTAGTGTGAACAGTGGCATCCAGCAGTGGGGGCACCAGTGCCCCACCTCCCCACCCCTGGGACCTTGGCGCCCAGCCACATGCCTGCCACAGGGCGCAGGTCTCCTCTGCCTGGGCCTGAAATAGCAGCGCGTCCTCCATTTGCTTCTGCAGGTGGTCCAGAGACTTCTCCAGCTTGCCCTGCAGGGAGGTGAAGCCAGCCAGTAACCACCCTAGGCCCTGTGCCCACTCCCACTGCCCAGTTCCGGCTGAGACTACATTTGACAGATGGGAGTCAGTTGTGAGAAACTGTGTCTGGTACACAACTGAGGGAGCAAACTGAATCTGCTAGGAGATGCCCTCTACCCAGCATGACCTCCCACCACCCAGGCCAATCTGGTTACTTGCCAATTTTTCCCTTTCTCCTGACTTCCCTGATCTCCTGACAATCTCCCCAGCCTGACTTCCTACCACATAGCAGTCTTCTTTTCTGCAAATTCCTTCCCTTCTGTGCCTGTCCTGGGTTTGCCAAAGTTCAGCTTCACTGGGAAGGAGGCAAGGGACACTCACACTTGGATCTGGCTACCTGAGCCTGACCTCAGGCAACACCCGACTGTTTCCTTCGACATTATTTACTGTGGACTTATTGGGGCATCCCCAGCTTTAAGACAAAGTAGGCACCAGCACAGTGTGAGGGAGAAATAGCAGGTGCTGGAAGGGCCCTCTGCCCTCCTTCTTTCTGCCTAAAGGAAGGACATAAATTTCCCACGAGAAGGGTGGCCTCCCTGCACCAGGAAGGGGGCATCCTCTTCACCAAAGATTATCATCCCTAATTGTGCTAAACAGACCTTACTAAAATAATGTTGATCTTCCAGTAGTTCCCCCATATATTTCCTAGTTCCTTTTCCACAAGTTATTGGCCCTAGCAGCCCAAACTCCCTTTCCTTTGTCTAGTCACTGATCCACAATTTATCATCGTCTGTTAAAATGAAATATTAAACTCTTGAGCCCAGCCGGTGTGGCTCAATGGATTAAGTATTGTCCCATGGACTGAGAGGTCCCAGTTGAATTCCCAGTCCGGGCACGTTCCCAGTTGCAGGCTTGAACCCCAGTAGGAGGGTGTGCAGGAGGCAGCCAATTGATGTTTCTCTCTCACATTAATGTTTCTCTCTCTCCCTTCCTCTCTGTGGGGGAAAAAAAAAATATATATATATATATAAAAGAAAGAAAGAAAAAAAGAGCCCTGGCCAGTTTGGCTCAGTGGTTAGAGCATCGGCCTGCGGACCAGAGAGTCTGGGGTTCAGTTCCCACTACGGGCACGTACCTCGGTTGCAGTTTGTTCCCGGCCCTGGTTGGCATTTTATGGGTAGCAGCCACTCAGTGTGTCTCTCTCACATTGATGTTTCTCTCTCTCTCTCTTTGCCCCTTCTCCCTCCCGCTCTATCTGAAGATAAATGCAAAAATGTCAAATGAGGATAAAAAAAAGAAAAAGAAACAGAAATGTAAACTCTTAAGTCTAATCACTCATTTCAGTTTTTCACTTTTCTGAGGACACTGTGCCACATAAAATTTAAGACTAATAAGACTATGTCTTTTCACCTGTTAATCTGTTTGTTGTCAGTGTAATTTGCAAATCTCAGTCACAGAACCTAACAGGGTTGAGTAAAAGGTTTTTTCTGCCCTCTGAGACTTTATCAGGTCAGCTAGAAGGAGCCTTTAGAGCAGGGATGGGGAATGTCCAGTCCATGGACTGTATATGGCCTGTGAAATCAATACAAGCTAACATCACACGTCTCATCAAATTAGCCTGACCAAATATAGCAGGCTAATTTTTAAGTTGATAATTTTGTATGGTTGGAGAATGATATTATAAATATCCAAAGCCCTTGGCAGAAAAAAAGGTTCCCCACCCCTACTTTAGAGAGCTGGTGGTCACTCTCCAGTTTCATGGTCACTTTCTGCACCCTGATCAGGGTGTTTGGTGACAGGAGTACAAACCTGCTGAACATGAGTAGACATTCCTGCATGCATGTAACACCTTACAGTGAGAGGAAAATCCACAGGAATCCATCCATATGAAGGCAAGCCCACTGATGTAGATCAGGGAACAGGTTTATTCTGGTGCCCCATAAGCCTGTTCTATGATAGTGACCTACTGGCCAAGTATTAATTCTAACACTGACCAAATACTGTACATGGTGCACCCCAGCAGACACAGACACAGGATACAGGCTGTGAAGCAAAATGCAAGCCAGTCAGAAAGTTTGAAAGATGCCACCCATTAATTAATACCTGGGTCCCAAGAACAAACTCTGCTAAGGCAACAGGCCAGGTGAGCTAGGTGAAATGTTTGCTCTGAGGCACCCAGGAGAAGGGGTAGTGCTGGTGTGAGTTTCGATTTTTAAGGAAATGCATTTGCAGAACAGGAAAACAAGGTTTCTCAGCGTGAGATCCAAGCACAATTGAGCCCTGGTGTGTCAGATGGCAGTGGTGGTCCCAAGTTCTCCACTCAGGAAGCCTGCAGGGCCCTGGCGTCTGCCTCCCTGGGCAATTACTTCTGTGGCTTTGCGGCAGGATCCTGCCTGCTTCCTGGAGTCTCTTCTCACCAGGGTTTCAACACTGGCTGATGCCCCACCACGGGCCCTGGCCACAGCACATCCTCCCACCAGAGATGAGTCCTCATTCGTCCCACCTTCTCTGTCACTGGCCTCCATACTTGCCACTGTTCAGTCACACCCGTCGAGTACCGCCCCAGAGGGTGGCCCTCCCACCATTACAGCGAGACCTCGGCCTCAAAAAAGAGAACGCCTGTCTCCCCCAGGTCCTCACTCCAGCTCCCCACTGGTGAGTGGTGCTCCAGCCCCGCGAAAGTGCCGGCCTGGGACAGGCTGAGCTCCCACCCCCCACCCCTCCCCAAATTCCAGGCGAAACCGCGTCCCTCAGACCTGAGCCAGGCTGCGCCCAACCCACCGGCCCAGGCCCCGCACCTTGAGGTCCTCGGCTGCGTCCTGCAGCGGGCGTACGCGGTGCGCCCAGTGCTCCCCAGAGCGCTCGCAGGACGCGCACAGTAGGCGCAGTTCGTCGGCGCAGAAGGAGGCCAACGGCTCTCGGTGCGCAGCGCACACGCCCTGGGGGACGGGGGACGGCGGGTGCAGGCGCCGCGCCATCTCGGCCATCTTGGCAAGCGGGCGGTTGGGCCGCAGATTCCGCTGCGGGGACAGCTCGCGGCATTCAGGGCAGGCGTATGGGCCTTCGGGCTGGCCCCAACAGCGCCGAATGCACTCGCGGCAGAAGTTATGGCCGCAGTCGGTCATCACAGGGTCCATGAAGTAGTCGAGGCAGATGGCGCAGGTGGCCTCCTCCTGGAGGTTGGTGGACAAATCGGAGGCGGCCATGGCGCGGCAAAGCAGAGAAAGGCGGCGCTCTCCGCCGGGTCGAGCGCTAGCCTGCCGCCGCCGGAACTTTGGGGAGCTTGCGGAGATCGGGGGCTCCGGAAGCCAGGAAGCACGGGATACGCTGAGCACCGCGGCTCCCGGATACGGACAGGAAAACAGGGGCGGAAGCAGGAAGCTTCTGTTTTGTTTGCGGGGGCGGGGGGAGAGGGGGGGTGCAACATTCTTTAGTCACTGATTGGCTGTGACATGTCACGCGGGCCGCGGGCAGCCCTTAGCCACCCACGTGAGCCCTTGGCGCTTCCGGCCCGGCCCGGTAGGGTCGAAATGAATGAGAGGAGGGACTCTGCCTCTAGGGACTCTGGTCTTGTTGGGGTAAGAGTGCATTGACTGGAATTCGGGGGTACTAGTGACTGTTAACAGGGTTGTTAACGCGCCTGAAACTGCGGGTGGGGAGTGAAAGGAAAGGACCCGCCCATGATCCTTACCACCACCCCGCCTTCCCGCAGGTTCAACTTAAAGGAATGGAAAGGGATGAGGGTGGGCAGCTCTAGAGGTTCAGCTTGAAAAGTCGTACTTATTTTCCCTGTGAAGGAACCAAATATAGAATTGCTGATGACAAGGAAGGTGGACACTACCCTCCCCCCTCCCCCAGGCCACAGGTTTACCTATAATAACCCAAACCCTTGAGGACCCAGTGAGTGTCAGGTGGATGGGGACGTTGCTAAAGAAAACTACAGCACCATGGCCTGATCTATATGTATGTATTTGGAGATTGGTATAGGTTCCCTCTGTGAAGCACCTATGACTACAGTCTCAACGTTTAAGTGCTTTAATCAAGATTATATTTTGGCTTGGTGAACCCTCCTGAGACAGTCATGGCTCTTCCACTGCTCCACCAGAGATAAGCAGGGCAGGTGGGCCTGCTGGGCAGAAACTCCACTTTTCCTTGCCTACATGCCTAACCCTTCACCCACAGCGTCACTGTTGAGATGACCATCTGGCCAGATTTGGGGGCCCCAAGGCAGAAGAAGGGCTGTAGGGGGCCTGGGAAGGCCGGCTGGGCATAGGTGTGCAGGTGGGACCCGCCGCTGGCATTGTAGAAAGACACCTCCCCAGCCTCAAAGTCCAGGAAGATGCCCATATGACTGGGGGGCTCTGTCAGTGTGATGGGGGTCAAAGTGGACACTGGGGGCACATACTTCTTTCCCTTGCACAGCTGCACCACCCAGAATCCGTTTTCTGGGGACTTGAGGACCCTATTCTTCCGGCTCACGTTGTCCCTGCACACACCCAGGGCCCAGAGCGCATCCCCAGTGAGGTTCATGCCCACTTCCCAGTAATGCCGCCCTGAGGAGAAGGTCTGGTGTCCCACTGCACAGGGGTAGGCCAGGAACCTGTCCTTGCTGCAGGGTGTGCCATCTGGAGGGGTACTGAGGTAGCGCCTCTGGCGGCTCTCATACAGGAGGAGGTAGGGGTACGCTGTAGCAGGGTCAGGCACCACGTTCTCTGCAGACAGACCCAGCAATAGGGATAGGGCTGAATCATCTCCATTCCCCCTGACCAACCCCCCCCTCCAGGCTTCCCCTTGGCTGAGTCTAGCTGTGAGCCTGGTCTCTGCATGGGCTGTACCCCAGCTGTCGCTGTTGGTAGTGCCAAGGAGATGAGCTGGGGGCCATTTGGGTATCTCCTGGGAATAGCTGGTAAGGGTAGAGTGTGAATGTCCAGTGAAATTTAAGTCTCCCTGGAGTGGCTCTGGCTGAGAACTGGCCCCACTTACCTTGGAAACTCTTGAGCACCTCTATCTGCCCAGGGACCCTGCAGATAGTCCTCAGTGCGATGGGGATAGCCTCTGGGTACTGCACACTCAAACTGTTCTTCCTCCAGAGGGGACAGATGTTACTCCCCTCTATCTCTGTGTGAAGCCCTCCCTGCCTCCACCTCAGGTAGTCATATACCTGTCCAGAGGCTCTTTTATATCCTGCGAAAACAGAGAGGAAGATCCATTACCCCTTGTTAGAAATCTGGGTCAGCCCCAAGTATCCTGTGTGGACATTTCTGTCCTGCAGAGCAAGAATTAATAATACTTTCCCATGATCCTCTTCCCAGTTTCCAGAGTGGATCCCTATCTTTTGGCCGCCCAGGTCTCCTGCTGTCCCTCTGCATATGGGCAAGGACATGGAAGCTTTCCTGCTCTCAAAGGGTGGGGAAGGCACAGGAGACCCAAGGGTGCTTCCACACTGCAGGTCTCGGGCAGCTCAGGAGTGTTTAGTGGGTGGTGAACTGGCTACTTTTTACTAGAAAACCAAGTATTCCCCACAGTTGGGGTGAGTACCTTGTTAACTAAACCAGGACACTTAATTGGGAACAAAACCCCAGATGCCAGCACAAGCATGAAACTGGTGCTGACCTTGCACGTGGCATCTGTTTCAGTTATATAAAAACACTGTGTATGTGATGGCTTACAGTGTGAAATGTTTTTTGCTATAGGTTCTATCATTCTATACAGTTACCTACTTGTCGGCCAACATAATCCTGCTTCCCAGGCCTCTGTGTGCAGGCCCGTCCCTGGCAGGCCAGCCACGCCTTCTACCCCATTCTAAACACTTAGGTGGGATCATGTGACTTGTTCCTGCCTTGAATTCACCGAGCCTGACCTGGCCAGTGGGTCCCTGCCCTACATCACTAAGTGGATGACAACTGCCCCTGGACCACTCCCTACCTCCTGGACTAGGAAGGGAATGCAGAACACAGGTATCTAGGACTGGAGGCTGTTAGGCTGATTATGTCCCCTAACTCCACATGTTGGAGCCCAACCACCAGGACTTCAGATGGAGCTATATTTGGAGATGGGGCCTTTAAGAAGTGATGGAGAAATGAGGTCATTAGGGTAGGCCCTAATCCAATGTGACTTGGTGTCCTTAGAACACCAGGACAAATGCACTGAGGGACAACCATGTGCAGACACAGGTAGGAGATGGCCATCCACACACCAAGGAGAGATGCCTCAGAAGAACAAGTCCTGCCCATACCTGGATCCTGGACTTCCAGCCTCCAGGGCTGAGAGAAATTAATGTTTAAGCCCCCAGCCTGTGGTATTATGCAGCTCGAGCTGATGGAAACAGCCTACCCTGTTGGTCTGGCTTTTCCTAAGCCAGAGCTTGTGTCAGCTCCACACAGCCAGGTGAGCAGGTGCACCTCACCTGCAGCATCTGCAGTGGTTCCCGCTTGCTACAGTCCTCCAGCCGTAGCAGCAGGGTCTTCAGGGAGCAACTCTGCTGCTCTAGTGCAGCCATACTCTCCAGCAGCCTGGCAGCAATGTCCTCTTCCTCCTGCCTCAGGGCCTGCAGGAGGTGCTGCTTCTCCTCCACCAGGAGGACAGCCATTTTCTTGAACTCCATCATAATGCGCCATCTCCGCTTCTTCACTTTCTCCTGCAGGGTGGGAGCTGAAGGTGAGGCAATGCCCAGGAACTGCCATCCTGTGTCTACTCTTTTGTGCCCATGAACTTGGAGGGGCCACTCTGGGGATGCTGGCACTTTTCACTGGGCTCCGGTGACACAAAAATCCAGGACAGCTGCTGGGGGGCAGGCATGCAGGGGCCACAAGAGCCCCCATCACTTTGGGGTGTCCCTATGAACCCCAAATGGCAGAATCAAGGCTTCTGTGTTCCCCTCAGTCCCTGCATCTCCAAAGTGGCCAGTTTGGGCTGAGCATACAGTCTTAATCCTGATTCTGGCTAGAATTCAATGCCTTTCCTGGGTCTTGTGCTCTCATTTACCTCTACAGTCCACAGGTTCTGGAGGACCTGTGGTGCCCTGGGGCCCCGGGCTCTCCCACCCACTCCTCGAGGCCTCAGCACCTGCCTGCCACTCAGCCAAGGTCTGCTGCTCCCTAATCTGCAGCTTCTGGGTCTTCATCATCTCTTCCTGCAGGTGCCTCATGTCACCCTCCAGCTTCAGCTGTGCAGACAAAAGACCACGGGATGAGAGATAGAGGCCCCCTGTACACCCACATCAGTAGGTGCCCTCTTTTCTAAGAGGGATGGAAATATACCACCCCAAAATATGCTCTTTGGGCAGGAGGATTATTTTGAGCTGGAGACAAATGAGAATCAACAGATGCAGAGAGATGCCTTCCTAGGCTCCTGTTATGTGACTAAAAGCAGAAACTGATGAGAAATGAGACTGTCATGAATTTGTCTCCCAGAGAAATTTGATGGTCATGAAGGAGGTGGAAAGTGGGTACTTAGAAGGACCTACACTGATGAACTTTATCTTTTGTTAGTTTCCCCAAACTATTTACTCTGTTATGATCTGAATGTTCGTGTTCCCCACAATCCACATGTTAAATCCTAACTCCCAAGGTCTAGGAAATGGGACCTTTGGGAGGTGGTGAGGTCATAAAGGTGGAGCCCTCAAGAATGAGGTTATTGCCCTTATGAAACTTCTGAGAGCTCCCAGACCCTTCTTCCATGTGAGGATGGTGAGAAGTCCACCATCTATGAACCAGGAAGGAGCCCCCACCCGACTGTTCTGGTGCCTTAATCTTGGATTTCCAGCCTCCAGAACCATGCGCATGAAGTTCTTGCTGTTTATAAGCTGTCCAAGCTTGTGTTCTGTGACAACAGCTGGAATGGACCAACTTTCCCAGTTTGCTGCCCTTGGGTTCAGATGTTAGACAAACTCAAGTTCTAAAACCACTGTTACTCATTGCTGTGGTTTCTAACCTGTGATCTGTGCGGGCCACTCGTGTTAACAGTTTGCCTTTCTCTCGATTTGTCTTTTCTGTCTAATTTAGGGTGGAAGAAAAAGGCTCCTCCCTCCCCTATAGAGGGCCACCTGGCCTTCCCACACAGACAGCTTTGAGGCTACTTTGTCAGCCTGGGCTCCTGAATAACTGTGGAGGGGATATCCAGGGGGCCCGGCCACCTATCTGCTATGTTGTGGGAGTTGCAGACACTTTCACTGGGGGATCTAGCATATGGACAAGTTTGTTACAGTGGTCATCTTCCTGCTTGAATACTACACCCCTCAAAACACACTTGCACTCATGCCCCCTTGACCCCTGCTGACCCTCATCCCTGGGCCCACCTTGTGTTCCTGCACGGCCTCCTCCACTGGGACCACCCTGTGAGTCCGGTGTTCCTGGGACTCCCTGCAGACCACACAGATGGGGCTCTGGTCATCTTTGCAGAAGAGTTTGAGCACCTCCTGGTGCACCTGGCACAGGTCTTGGCTCTGGAAGCCCGGGTGCTGTCGTGCCATCTCAGCCACCTTGGTCAGCAGGCGGTTGGGCCGCAGGTTCCTCTGGGGAGATAGCTCCCGGCACTCAGGGCAGGGGAAGACACCCCTGTGCTTCCTCCTGCCCTTCTTGCCTTTGGCCTTCTCCCAAGTCATCCGGATGCACTCACGGCAGAAATTGTGGCCACAGGTGGTCATTACTGGGTCAGTGAAATAGTCGAGGCAAATGGAGCATGTTGCCTCCTCCTGCAGCTTTCTGGAAAGTTCCACAGCATCCATGACTCCTGGGGAAGAAACAGAGCATCCCACCACACCCTCTGCCCAGAGCTCCAGGCACTTGAGGTGTCCTCTTGCAGATGAGGCTGAACATGGGGTCCTGCTAGCGCACCTGAACTGTCCTCAGTAAGAGGTACAGGTGCCCCTGTGGAAGCTGACAAAGATCCTCTCCACAACCAAACCCCGGCCAGGTTCCCCTGAGCTGCCCTACTGCCTGTCCCTGCCCAGCCATGCTCAGTTTTATTCCATTTAGAGCTGTACCCCCAGATGTCAGATCTAGTCCAGCATTCCCCATCCTACCCCACTTATGATTAATGTGTAGGAAACTTGCTAGGCCAGTTTGGCAAGAAGATCCCTCCCCAAGTCTCAGTGATTTTCCATAACTAACCCCCTCACCCTGTCCTTGGCCATCCTCCCCACTATGTAGGCTGCATTCAGAGATGACCCCATGTTTCTCCCTATTGCAATAGTCTTGAATAAAGTCCTCCTTACCAATTTAACACGTGTCAGAATCAGTCTCTTTAACAGGACATCCATGCAACAAAGGAAAGGTGCACTTGAAGAGGAAAAATCAGAGTTGGCAAAGTTCCCTACTTTACCAAATTCTATTCAGGCTCCCAGAACTTTCCAAACAGACTTCTGTGTTTGTCTCTGCATTGTACAAGTTTAGATAGAATCCCAATATGAGGGTTTAGACCAAAGCCCTTTACCCAGATGTTTCCTGTTAGTAATTTCCTATCACCAACCGTACCCTGCTCCTTGGCCATAAATCCCCACTGGCCCATCCTGTATCCAGAGTTGAGCTTTCTGTGGGGTTCTATGCTGTACCCCTACTGCAATAGTCCTGAATAAAATGTTTTTACTGTTCTAACTACCATCCAGCTCTGGTTTTTCTTTAGATACAGCACAGTGCAGAAGACACATGATCATTCATGCATGCACACAACACACATGTACACACACACCACACATATACACAAGCATACATACAATCACAGAGGCACATACAGATGCATGCACATACTTTGGTGTCGAATACCTACGTCCTTATATGGTGCAGATCCAAAGCCTCCGTATGCACCTCATAGAGTGGTCAGTGGGGCAAGTCAGAATAGATCTGAAAGTCATTTCTGAATCACAGCACTATCTGGGTTCTCTTCCCTGCCATCACCCAGAGAGATGGCTCTGATTCTGCAGACACTGTGGGTTCACTTTGTGGAATCTGCCTCTCTCTAAGCAGAACCCTTGGAGTTAGTCTCCCCTTCTGATGGCCACCCACCTGAAGCCTGATGGGCTAGGATGGACTGGTGGGTGTTGGTCTGGTTCAGGCTGAGGGGAAGCTGGTCAAGGACTCTGGGTCAGTGACAGTGGACGGGTGATGCTCCTGTGTAATTAGGGCTAAACCAGGTGACCCATCTGGTTCCAACTGATAACCACCTTCAGAGCTGGGACCCCAGTGTATAAGGCATGGACGCCCACAGGGTGACCACCCACCCGCCCCTGGATAGGCTGGTACTCACCGGGAAGAAAGGTGCACGCCGCCCGAACAGGCACCCTGGACCACGTGCACAAACAGGGCGCTGGAAAACCTGTGTTTGCACCACGGAGATACGGAGATGAGGCGGTGGCCTCGTAGCTGCGAGCTTTGTGGCGTCAGTAGAGGCCCAGAGGCCCCAGGGGATGTGTATGTGCAGCTTATCAGGGTGGGGGTGGGGCGGGGAGGGTTGCAGGGCGGGGGGGTCGGTGTTGGTCAGCAGCCTGCGGATGGGAACCTGAGCTTCTTGACCGACAGGGGCGGTAGCCGACTTGGCCAGGGGTGAAGGGTGGAGGGAAGTGTCCTGGGAGGGGAGAGGATAGGGACCGGAGCCTAGTCCCCGAAAGGGAGCAGGCTAGTTGTGGGGCAGAGGGCTGGCACCTGGTGTGGGGAATGGGAAAAGTTTTGGGAAGAAGGGAGGGGGCAGCTGGAGGGTAAGGAGAAAACCGAAACCAGAGCCCAATTGGGGAAGTGACAGAGGTGGTTGAGAGAGGAGATGAGGGTGGAGGACCCCTGGAGGCACCGGGTGAGAGGAGGGGCGGCGGCCAGGCCCCGGGTTAGGAGGGGCGGGCCGGGTTCAGAGGTGCACTGAACAGGGTGGGCCCCTGAGGGTCTTGCCAGCACCCTGAGGTGATTTTCCAGTATCGCTGCCTCCCAACCATGACCTAGCCCGGGCCGTGGGCTGCGCGCACACCCAGTCCTGGCCCCTGGGGAGCAGACAGATGAGGAACCTAAGAAGGACGGCGGAGCAACAAATAAAAGTCATCTCCAGGGCGTGCTGGAGTAGACGACCAGGCTGTGGGTGTAGACAGATGACTGGCTTTCCAGGCGCGCAGCTGGATGTGTTTCTTGAGTGGTGCGTCCTTAGTAGAACACAACTAGGACGGAGTCTGGCTGCGAAGTCTTGCCTACGCCTGGGCAGTTCATGGGAGGGTGAGGGGCGGGGCGGGTTAGGAAGGCAGGCAATGCTCAAAGAGAGAACGCCATTTGGTAACTGTAATGTCCTCTAAGTCCCTGACTCACTTTTGCATGGCATTGGAGGGGATTCTGGACTGAGAGTTTCTTTCAATTTAGAGAACTGAATTTGAATAACTAAAAAAAAAAAAAAAAAAAATTAAAGAAAACACACAAGAGAACAATGGACCCCCCATATATAAATTGTCCAGATCAGTATTTCACTGTATTTGCTTCATTTGTCCTGTTCTTTGGCTGAAGATTAAAAAACAAATCCCAGACATCACTAACTTCACCTCTATGTGCTTCTCTGCAAGGGAGAAAAAAACTTTCCCTCTACCCTCTTGGTTTAGTGGCTGGGGCTTGCTAATTTAACTGACAAAAGCCTAATCAACAGGAATAAAACAGTTTGTATGTATTTGGGTGTCAAGGAAGGAAGTAGCTGGCTTGTTAAACAGTTAAAGGTTTATATATAAAACTTAGGGAAATGGAAGGGAGAGAAATGGCTTCTATGGGAAAAACAAATAGGTTCCTTTAGGAAATTCAAAATGTTTTTTGGGAGAACAGAGAGGAGATATGAAAGTGTGTGATAATATTTGTCCATACAGCTGTAAGTGATGATCTTAACATCTTCTTCAGGGCCCTAAAACTGATCCAGGGAAGGGATTTATGGCAACAGCATTTCCCAGAAGTTGCTGATTTTACTCAGATAAGGGAAGCTTGGAGAAGGCTTTCTTCTGTAGCTGTTGGATCTCAAGTATCATAATCTTAAAGTAACATTTATGGCAATTCTAAGGTTCAGAGCAGACTCCACACTCCCACTCATCTCTCAAACTGTGAGTGTTCATTTTATAACCTCAAGGCTTTGCCTATCTCATACAATTGGCAAGGATTCTGAAACCAGACAACAAACAGGTCTGAACCACCTGTCACAACTTGAGCCAATTAAGCAGGGACAAGGTTGAACTGTATATGAGTGTTTTATTCCAATAATGCTGACAGTATAGGAGAGCAGCAGGTCATTCTGTAAAATCTTCTCTAAACCTCCTTGCTAGCTGGCTGCTTATATAATGGTAGAAAGATGAAAAGTATTAGAGAAGGGCAGGTAGGCAAAAAGGGAAAAAAAAATGGGGGGGGGGGGTAAAATGAGAGTTGCAAAGGATGGTTGCCAGTGCAATGCCTCCAAGATTCCAATAGCAAGGTAATTAATCTTTTCATTATATCAAGCAACTCCCCCTTGTTCTCAGATAAGGAGAATGGACAGCACTCTGAGGTAAACTTCCAGGTTGTACAACTCCCAGCCAGGTCAGAATGTGCTTTCTTTAATCAGAACAAAATAATCATGATTAACAGAGCATGGATGATTAACATTTCTTATAACTATGGCTAGTGCCCCACTATGACAATTCCCTATTATTCTATTATTCCCTCCTTGCCCCTATCAATTCTCTGTTTTATCTGGCCCCTGGTTCATATCAGAATTCATCTATTATCTCAAAAGTGTTTGTCTTAAAAGTTGGTTTGTTTGAATCAGGATCTGAACAAGGTGATAAGGTTTTCAGGTCTTGATTGGTATGGTTCCTCTTCTTTTTCTTATGCATTTCCTCCTCTTCCATCAATCATCTTTTTAATGCCACAGGCTCCAGACCTCTGGGTGGGTACCCTACACAAAGTGGCCCTACAGTTGGGATCCCACCACCCTGAGACCTTCTTGTCAAGGGAAGTTCTCTCTAGGGCTGACCTTGGCAATAGGGCTACACATTAGGACCCCCTCCCTCTCTCCCTGGAAGACTTTAAACAACTCAGTGATGGGCAGCTCAACATCTCAGGGCAGGAGCTTGGCACCCCTATTTTTTAACTTCCTGGAGAGCATCTGACAGTAAGAACAAATGAAAAATAAGGGGCTTAGTTCTCTCTGTGGAAAACAGACACTCCCCCTTCCCTTTCAGAATTTCTTTCTCTGTCATTTTCAAATGTATGCACATCTTTTTAGTGGCTAAATAATGCAGCAGTCCAGCTGGAGCAGGATCCAGGAGGTCCCGAAGGTGGGTAAGGCATTGGCGCCCGCCTGGAGACAGGTGACTACACGACTCAAAGGCAGTGTGACACTGTTCCAATTTATTGTAATTTTCTTTGTGATTATATATTCTCTTTTTTGGCATAGGTTAAGCATTTGCAGTTACAAAAGCAGAAAGTTAACTATCGTAGTTCCAGGAGGTTAGTTTCAATTAGACAAAGGAAAGGAACAGAATGATAGGTAGACTTATTTTTGTAACAGCAAAATATTGGCACCCAGATATGATTTTTTGATTCTTTGTCTAAAGTTATTGATTAACTTTATTCTAACTCCTATTTCTTTTCTCTTTCTCTAGATCAGCTATGTTTTGTTTAAGATCTCCAAGGAGATAAGGGCAACATTTCTTATAATATCTATTCAGTTGAAATAGAATAGAACATTCTTGTTTTTTGGACCGTGGGCACCAGGGAGGATCTTGGCATGCTAACTGTTTCATGA